CTCTCTCTTTTTTTTAGGTAGATTTTTGCTCCCTGCATTGTTTCTCTTTTCTCTGGGGTTCTTCTTGGTGTCTCTCTTACATACAGACATTTTCTTTGTAATCTGTTAATCTCTGGTTGGTTGTTTGTATTTCCATGTGTAGGGTATGTTTATCCACAAAGCTTTCCTGTTGGGAGTTGTTTAATGCTTTTATTGGAGGACCCCAGGTTCATTAGATAGCCTTTGGCTCTCTTCTCTGGGAACATTCAGTTTCTCTAGATAAGACTCTTCATGTACTTATAGCTGTATCTGTCGTGTGTGTGGGCTCTGGGTCATTGAAAGCAAAAATGCTTTCCTGAATGAGCTTATCCAGTGTAACTTCAGGAATAATACTGATTATAATAAAGCCCCTGTATTTCTTCGGGAGGGAGGGAAGGAAAAAAGTGGGGGAGGGAGGATCCTATGTTCTGCTTGGAAGGAGCCGGTGGTCCCACCCATAAGTGGCAGTGCGACACTTCATTCCGCCTTTTTCATCTCCTCACTACTCTTCTCTGCTGGGACCTTGAGTCCAGAGCCTTGTTATCTTTTCCACAGAGTACATTTCTAGCCTCTTAAGAACCTGTAGTTATTGATTGGTTTGGGGAGCAGCAGCCATTCTGTATATAGACTTTTAACCTTGGAATGAGCTCATCAGCTCCCACATCACCTTTGGTTCCCCAGGACCTCCAGGTCTGTAACCCTGACTTGTGCTGGCAGATCACATTGTTTCTGGCTATTTGTTTCCTCTGTGGTCTCTTTCAGAAAGTTATTGAAGTATCTTTCCTACTGTTGTCTTCTCAACTTATTACTGTGCTTTTTTATGCTATCTGCCTTTACTGTCTGTCCTCCACATTTAACTGCAAGTGTCCTGTTTTCTACCCTAGAGAAGGCACCAGAGTGGGTGGGAGGAAGGATTAGAATTTAAACCAGCCGAAACCGGTTTGGCTCGGTGGATAGAGCATCGGCCTGCGGACTGAAGGGTCCCAGGTTCGATTCTGGTCAAGGGCATGTACCTGGGTTGCGGGCACATCCCCAGTGGGAGATGTGCAGGAGGCAGCTGGTCGATGTTTCTCTCTCATTGATGTTTCTAACTCTCTATCTCTCTCCCTTCCTCTCTGTAAGAAATCAATAAAATATATTTTTAAAAAAAAGAATTTAAACCAATCACCTTTAGCCTCTTAGTGCTCAATAAGTATTTGTTGTTGATTCTAAGAATGATAAAATTATAATTCTTCATCCTGGGATGTCTGAACTTCTTGAAATTTTACATGAATGGCTATATATATTTTTTTTAATATATATTTTTTAATCCTCACCCAAGGGTATTTTTCCATTGACTTTTAGAGAGAGTGGAAGGGAGAGGGAGAGAAAGAGAGAGAAACATTGATGTGAGAGAGACACATAGATTGATTGCCTCCTGCAAGTACCCTGACCAGGGTGCACCCTGACCAGGGTCGGGGATCGAGCCTGCAACCGAGGTATGTTCCCTCGATCAGAATCGAAGCTGGGACCTTTCATCCTGTGCACTGACACTCTATATCCCAGTGATGGCGAACCTTTTGAGCTCGGCGTGTCAGCATTTTGAAAAACCCTAACTTAACTCTGGTGCCGTGTCACATATAGAAATTTTTTTTATATTTGCAACCATAGTAAAACAAAGATTTATATTTTTGATATTTATTTTATATATTTAAATGCCATTTAACAAAGAAAAATCAACCAAAAAAATGAGTTTGTGCCAAAACCGGTTTGGCTCAGTGGATAGAGCGTCGGCCTGCGGACTGAAAGGTCCCAGGTTCGATTCCGGTCAAGGGCATGTGCCTGGGTTGCGGGCACATCCCCAGTGGGAGATGTGCAGGAGGCAGCTGGTCGATGTTTCTCTCTCATCGATGTTTCTAACTCTCTATCTCTCTCCCTTCCTCTCTGTAAAAAATCAATAAAATATATTAAAAAAAAAATGAGTTTGCGTGTCACCTCTGACACGCGTGTCATAGGTTAGCCATCACTGCTCTATCCAGTGAGCCAAACTGTCTAGGGCAGCGGTTCTCAACCTGTGGGTTGCGACCCCTTTGGGGATCGAACGACCCTTTCACAGGGGTTGCCTAAATACATTCTGCATATCAGGTATTTACATTACAATTCATAACAGTAACAAAATTACAGTTATGAAGTAGCAACGAAAATAATTTTATGGTTGGGGGTCACCACAACATGAGGAACTGTATTAAAGGGTCGCAGCATTAGGAAGGTTGAGAATCACTGGTCTAGGGTAATAGTAATACATTTTAGTCACAACAATTTTTTTAGTCTGTGAAGAATACATTACCTTTAGAGAAAGTTTGGAGATTTGAGAGGGAACAAATCCCAGTCATAATTCCCTGAATACCATTGTTATCTTTGTATATTCTCCATATTTATATGTATGTTTTCTCAACATACTTTGGGTCGCAATTTTGTATCCTGGCTTTCCCCCCTCACAATTTTATTGCTGCATAACCATTAAAACTAAATGTCAGTTGTTTTGTGCAGCTCCATTGATTAACAACAGTTCTCAAACTTTTTTTGTTGTTAATCCTCACCTGAGGATAATTTTTCCATTAATTTTTAGAGAGAGTGGAAGGGAAGGGGAGAGACAGAAGAGAGAGAAACATCAATGTGAGAGAGACACATTGATTGGTTGCCTCCCACACCGCCCTGACTGAGGTACATGCCCTTGACTGGAATTAAACCCAAGACCCTTCAGTCCATGGGCCAACAACCTAACCATTGAGCCAAAATGGCTAAGGCTGTTCTCAAACCTTTTTGTCTCAGAATTCCTTTAAATTTTTAAAATTGATAGCTCTCACCCTGGCCAGGTGACTCAGTTGACTGCAGGTTCGATCCACGAGGCATGTACGGGAGACAGACAATCGATGTTTCTCTCTCTCTCTTTCTGTCTCTCTTTTCCCCCCTCCCCCACATCTCTCTCTAAAAATCAATAAAAACATATCTGCGGGTGAGGATAAAAACATGGAGAACTTGTTTATATGGGTTATATTTATTGATACTGCAGTAGAAGTTAACACTAAGGAACTTAAAATATATATTAATTCATTTAAAATAACCTATTACATATTAATATAAGTAATGTATTTTTATGAAAAAATGACTCTTTTCCAAAACAAATTATTGAGAAGAGTAATACTTTTAATTATTTGCAAATCTCTTTAATGTCTGCTTAATAGAAGATTGCTAGGTTTTCATATCTGCTTCTGCATTCGAACTACTTCAGTATGTTGTTTTGGTTAAAGTGTATGAAGAAACCTGATCTTCCACAGACAGACACGTGGCTGGAAAAGAGAGGAATGTTCTAATACCCTTTCAAGTGCTCGCAGGCATTTTTCTCTGACTGTCTACTGAAACTCAACAAGTAGTAATTTCTTGGGGTGGGGAGGGCAGTGCTTAATCGAATGTTTATTCAAAACAACTATAGTGATTGACAAAGAGTTACTACCCAGACAGTTTGCTTCATTTGGAAGTTAACAGTGGCAGATTTGGAAGCGGGCAGAGGGTGGAAGAGCCTTCGTGTTCTGATCGCAGATGTGACTGAAAAGCATCAAGACAGTTGGTGGTAGCGCATTTAGTACAACCCGGAGGTCAGGACTTTACAGTTCACATGCAGAAAAGGAAAAACTCAAATAAACACAATTCCTACAAATTGACAGTCTGTCAATTACACTATTGCGACTCTTTTAAAAAATATGTAAAATTTACCATTTTAACAATTTTTATGTGTACAGGTCAGTGGCATTAAGTACATTTGCATTGTCGCGCAATTACCATCATTATCTGTCTCCAGAACAGATACAGTTGATCTCATTATTTGCAAATTCCATATTTGCACACTCACCCACTACCTGAAATGTATTTGTGGTCCCCAAATCAGTACCCAGTGCTTTTGCAGTCATTTACGGACGTGCACAGAGCAGTGAAAAGTTTGAACTGCTGGATGTGCATTCCCCAGTCAAGGTCAGCAAGGTGACACTCTGCCTTGTTTCAACTTTCATACTCTAAACAAATGCCCTTTCTGTGGTTTGTTTAGTCCATTTCTTTTTCACATTTTTGTTGATGATTTTGCTGTTTTTTAAAAAAAAAAAAAAAAAATATATATATATATATATATATATATACATACATACATACACACACACACACACACACACACACACACAGACACACACTGGAGGGGGTTCCCTCATAGTCCGGGAGCCCTCAGGGGCAGGAGGTGACCCGGTGATCAGGGGAAGGCAATGCCCCATCACACCTCTGCTGCTGCCACTGCCGGCAGGGCAAGCCTCGGCCGGCCCTGGTTACCTGAGCCTGAGTCTTTATTGAAATATAAAATATCTTAGAAAAGTGCTTAAATCATAAGTATACAGCTTGATGAAATATCACAAAGTAATTGTGTTTGTATCATCCTGATCCAAAGTATACTAAGGGCAAAAATATGCTATGACTTGAACCCCAGCAGCCTTTTTTCTACCTCCTCCTCATCTTTTCACTGTTCTTCCTCCCCAAGGTAACAGCTGTGCTGACTCTAACACCAGAGAGGAGGGTTTCTTTCTAACATTATGCTAATGGAATCATACAGTGTATCATTTGTGTCTGTCTCTTTTACTCCACTTGATGCTTGTGACATTCCTCCATGTTGTGTATTGATAGGCTTTAATTAGAATTTTTATATTGTAGTCTCCTGTTCTAGTTGTTTGGCTTGGTCTTTATGCTGTGGACTGAATTGCATTCCCCAAAACTCGTATGTTAAAGCCTTAACCAGTGTGGCAGTTTTGGAGAAGGGGCCTTTGTAAAAGTCATTAGGTTAACCTAATTACAGGTTACTATGGTAGAGCCCTGATCCAGTCGGGTTTGTGTCCTGATAAGAAGAGCCACTAGAGCGCTTGCTTTCTCTCTCCGCCATGTAAGGACACATTGAGGAAGCGGCCGTGTGCAAGCCATGAGGAGCATCCTCACCAGGAGCTGATCATGCTGGCACCCTGAGCTCAGCGTCCCAGCTTCCCAGACTGTGGGAAATACATTTCCACTGGGTAAGCTACCTGCTCTGTAGTATCTTTTATGGCCGCCCAGGCTGAGGTATGTGCAGTTCTTCCAGGCTACTGTGTCTTGAAGGTCTTGGGTCTTTTTTTGTCGTGCTCTGTCAGTGGTGGTGGGTGCACCTGTTGGGAGCTGTACGGATCTTTTGACCAGTAGTGAATTGACAGGGTTTTTCTCCAGGGGTGTGTGCTATGAGTTTGTTGGGCCCTTTTGGTTTAGGAATGTTGGGGGGAAGCCCTTATCATGCATGAGCTTATTTCTATTTTGTAATTTTCCACTGTGTGTCTGGCATCAGGGTGAATCAGTGGAATTTCCAGAACTTCACACAAGTGGCAGGGAGTCTCCTCTTCCTCACGTAGTGAACTCCTTTTTGCTGTGCGCCACACCCCACCCCACCCCCGAAAAACCATCTCTACAACCTGGGAATGAGTGGACGCTCTCTCTCCAGTCTCAGTCTTCCTGAGAAGCGATGCATCACAGTTGCCTCCTGTTTTGGTGGCCTCAAGGGCTGAGCTGTTCTACAGGCCCCAGCTCAGGTTATTTTGGTAGCTGAGCCATCCCAACAGGGAGCTGAAAGGAAGAGGGGATTAGGAGCTTCCTCCTGAGGCTTCAGTGACACACACACACACACACACGCACACACACGCACACTGTTTCACATTGAGGACACTTGCTTTTGATAAAATGACTTCAGTTTGATTTAGTCAAATGCCACATATTTGAGCTCCTGATTTTGCCTTAGCTATTACTTGAATAGCACTACTTGAAAATGAAAATGTGTAAGAACAGCCCTAACCGGTTTTGGCTCAGTGGATAGAGCGTCAGCCTGTGGACTGAAGGGTCCCAGGTTCGATTCCGGTCAAGGGCATGTACCTTGGTTTCGGGCTCATCACCAGTAGAGGGTGTGCAGGAGGCAGCTGATTGATGTTTCTCTCTCATCAATGTTTCTAACTCTCTATCCCTCTTCCTTCCTCTCTGTAAAAAATCAATGAAAATATATTTAAAAAAAAACGTGTAAGAACAGAATCGGAATAGAATCTTTGGTGGTATATTTCAGTGGAATTGAATATGTTCATAATGTTGCATAATCATCACCATCACCACCATCTTATCTCCAGAACTTTTTTCATCTTGTAAACCTGAAACTGTCTTCATTCCCCCTCCCCCCTGCTCCGGGTACCTGCCACCTACTTTCTGTCTCTATGATTTTCAATATTCTAGGTATCTCATATGAGTGGAATCATACTGTATTTGTCCTTTTGTGACTGGCTTATTTCACTTAGCATAATGTCCTCAAGGTCTATTGATGTTATAGCATCTGCCAGAATTTTCTTCCTTTTTAAGGCTGAGTAATATTCCATTGTATGGATAATTCCACATTAGACTTATCCATTTGCTCCTCAAAGGAAACTTGGATGACTTCCACATCCTAGCTATTGTGAATAATGCTAATCATGGGTGTATAAATATTTATTTAACTCTCTGCTTTCAATTCTTCAGGGTTTATAGCCTGAAGTGGAATTGCTGGATCCCATGGTAATTGTTTTTAGTTTTTTGAGGAGCTCTGTACAATTTTCTACAATGGCTGTACTATTTTGCATTCTTTTTTTTTTTTTTTTATATTTTATTGATTTTTTACAGAGAGGAAGGGAGAGAGATAGATAGTTAGAAACATCGATGGGAGAGAAACATCGATTAGCTGCCTCCTGCACATCTCCCACTGGGGATGTGCCCGCAACCCAGGTACATGCCCTTGACCGGAATCGAACCTGGGACCTTTCAGTCCGCAGGCCGACGCTCTATCCACTGAGCCAAACCGGTTTCGGCTATTTTGCATTCTTACCAAAAGTACACGAGTGTTCCATTTGCTGCACATCCTTGCCAAGGCTTATTTTATTGATGGATTTTTGATAGTTGCCATCCTGATGTGTGTGCAGTGTTATCTGGTAGTTTTTTGTTTTTGTTTGTTTTGTTTGTTTTTGGTATAGCAAAGGTGGAAATTTATTGAAGAACAAGTACAGACTCCCATGTGGGGAAAGGGAAAGAGTCCCACAGCACAGACTCCCACATGGGGCAGGGAAAGAGTCCCCTGCCTGGTAGTTTTGAGTTGCGTTTCCCTAATGACAAGCGATGTTGAGCATCTTTTCCAGGTGCTTACTGACCTCTGCACATCTTTACCCATTTTTGAATTAGGTTCTTTTTGTTGTTGAGTTTTAGAAGTTCTGTATATATTGTAGATATTCATCCCTTATCAGATGTATGATTTGCAAATATTTTCTCCCATTCTGTGGGTTGTCTTTTTACTCCGCTGATACTTTTTTTGTGTGTCTGACCTTATTTATTTGTTACTCTTAGAAAAATCTTACTTTTGATTGGACTCAGGTGTGGAGGTAAAATCTCTCAGAAGACAGCCTCTGTCTCCTGGCAATCGGTTCCAGGTGTCTCATTGTCCTCCTTCATTCTCCTAATTACACAGCCAGCACATTCTCTGGCCTCTTTTCTTTTTTTAAAATATATTTTAATTGAATTTTAGAGAGGGGAGAGGGAGCAAGAGATAGAAACATCAATGATGAGAGAGAATCATTGATAGGCTGCTTCCTGCACATCCCCTACTAGGGATCGAGCCTGAAACCCAGGCATGTGTCCTTGACTAGAATCGAACCTGGTACCCTTCAGTCCACAAGCCAAGGCTCTATCCCCTGAGCCAAACCAGCTAGGGCTGGCCTCTTTCTTATTTCTCTTCCATGATGCTTCTTCAGAGCAATATGCTAGTGTTTGTGTTGCAGGACACATGGAGTGACAAGATGCTGAATCTTGGGTGCTTTGGTCTGAGGTTGTTTACCTTCTTTGTTTAGGGGCTTTCTCACAACATATTGGTGAACATTATCTTCTTTAGAGAGATTGAAAGGTTTGCGGCTTGTGCCAGCTCTTTTGGGCTTCAGGCGATGAGACAAAGTGGTATCAGTGAGACCAGGGATATCTTTCTTTCCTCTTTTTACAATGACCAGGTTGAGAGCACTGAGATTGCATCTACAGTGCAACCCCAAACAGATTTGCGCCTCCTTTATCCAGTTCTCCAGGAATGCCCTTTCCTCCGTAGCAGGTAGACATGGGTCAAGACACCCTTCTTCATGCAGTAACCTTGTTGGCAGTTCCCATCACTGTTAAGCCACATAAGCCTTCCACTCTTCACCCAGATTGTCAGCACCAACTTCTGTGCCACACGCTTTTCATAAAAGGTACGAAGTTTGTGTTTATCATCTGCTTCGGTGAGTTTTTGATAGTCAGTGGCTAGGAAAAAGATATTCAGCTTCATCCAGAAGTAGCCGACTGTGATAAAGAGCTGGATATTGTCTTTTGATGCACAAAATTTAAAATTTTTCATCAAGTTCAATTTGTCTTTTTTCCTTTTGTTACTTGTACCTTTGGTGTCATATCCAAGTGATCATTGCCAAATCTAATGTGAAGCATTTGCCCTGTTTTCTTCTAGGAGTTTGATAGGTGTAGGTCTTACATTTATAATTATTGATCCTCTTTGAGCTAATTTTTGTATATGATGTTAGCTAAGAATCCAATTTCACTCTTTTGCATATGGATGTTTGTTTTTCTCAGCACCATTTCTAGAATGTTATTTTGAAATGAATTGTTCAGTTATTTTTGCACTTATCAGTTTATTTGTAATATGGCAAATATCTAGATATAACCCACATTTGGGGTCACCAATAATCTTAAGAGTAGAAAGGGGACTAAAATTTTTTATAACTGTTGACATAGAGACTCTTTGAGCATTTTTCCCAGACTTTGGCTGCAACCCCTTTCTTCACTGGTACTTCTTATTAGGTCTCTTTTCTGAAGGATGCACAGTAGGAAACACAGCCTCACCGATATGGGGCAAGAGCATTTGTTGTCATGGATCTTAGGTGCAAAGCAGAGCTATGTTCCCCAGTTCATGGCAAAGTCTCCCTCTTATGTTTCCTTCTATCATCTTCTGGATGCCCATAGTTTCTAGAAATCCTATATAATAAAAGCCTAATGTGCTAAGTGTCCAGTCGTCTCATTGTCTGTTCAACCAATAAAAGCATAATATGCTAATGATATGCTAAGGCTGTTCAACCGCTCACTATGATGTGCACTGACCACCAGGAGGCAGACACTCCGACTGGTAGGTTAGCTTGCTGCTGGGATCCAGCCGATTGGGACTGAGACAGGCTGGGCATGCCCTGGAGCCCTCCCGCAGTCCCTCCCCGGCTGGCCAACCTCCTATGTCCCTCCCCGGCCCTGATCATGCACCGGTGGGGTCCCTTGGCCTGGCCTGCACCCTCTCGCAATCCAGGACCCCTCGGGGGATGTTGGAGAGCTGGTTTTGGCCTGATCCCGCAGGCCAGGCCGAGGGACCCCACTGGTACACGAATTCGTGCACCGGGTCTCTAGTCACTTTATAAGAGAAATGACAAACTGACCAGATGAGGATGGTGATGTAGGTGTACTTAGTCAGTTATCTATATACTAGAGGCCTGGTGCACAAATTTGTGCACGGGTGGGGCCCCTTGCCCTGGCTGGTGATAGGGGCAATTGGGGCCGTCTCGCCCATTCTCGATTGGGGCTGATTGGGGCCAGCTGACCCAGGGGAGGGACTGCAGGAGGTTGGCCGGCTGCGGGAGGTTGGCTGTAGGAGCGCACTGACCACTAGGGGGCAGCTCCTGCATTCAGCATCTATCCCCTGGTGGTCAGTGCACATCATAGTGACCAGTTGACCAGTCATAACAGTCGCTTAGGCTTTTATATATCCTTCTATATAATAAAAGGCTAATATGCAAATTGTCCCCTCAAGAGTTCAACCACTTGCTATGACGTTTGCTGACCACCAGGGAGTGGTGCGGAATGAAGGAAGGCCCTGGCCGGTAGCCAGCAGCCAGGGGAAGGAAGGCCCCGGCTGGCAGCCGAAAATCCCCTATGGGCCCTGATCTCCAGCCAGGCCTAGGGACCCTACCCATGCCTGAATTTCGTGCACTGGGCCTCTAGTATAGATATAAAAGCTTAAGCGACTGTTCGACCATTCATCCAGTAGCTATGTTAAGCGGTGACCACTAGGGGGCACACGCTCTGACGAATATAGGAGGGAGCCCGATTCCTTGTGGAATCAGCCGTGGGTTAGGTTGCTGCTGGGGCACTGTTGGCCCCGAATCTGCTTCACCCACACCCCAGACCCAGAGATCAGATTTGGCCCAATCCCCATAGGCCAGGCCGAGGGACCCCACCAGTGCATGAATCTGTGCACCAGGCCTCTAGTTTAAGATAAGAGATGCATAGTAACTAGAAGATATAGTTGGTGTGTGTGTGTGTGTGTGTGTGTGTGTGTCTGTCTGTCTGTGTCTGTCTTGGTGTCTTGTTTTTAGACTGCCTGGGGTGCACTCATCCCTTTTGACCCATTTGTTGCCTTTGTTTGTTTCATTTGGTTAGTCTACAGATTGGTCTGGAACTACGTAGTCTCTTTTCCTTCTTTAACTGCCTAAAGGGCTTTTCTATTAAACACACACACACACACACACACACACACACACAAAACTATAGTTGGCATCAGTATTAGCTTCAGGTGTACAACATAGTGCAGTGGTTCTCAACCTGTGGGTCTCGACCTCTTTGGCGGACAAACGACCCTTTCACGGGTTGCATAAGACCATCCTGCATATCAGATATTTACATGACGATTCATAATAATAGCAACATTACAGTTATGAAGTAGCAACAAAAATAATTTTGTGGTTGGGTCACAACATGAGGAACTGTATTTGAAGGGCCAGAAGGTTGAGAACCACTGACATAGTGGTTCCACATTACCTTCCCATGTGATTAGCACACTAAGTCTAGTAACCATTTTCCACTGTGCAGTGATCTCCCTATTATTGACTGTATTCCCCTTAACTTTTTTCACCCATCCCTTCACTTCCTACCCACCTACCCCAGCAACCATCAGTTTGTTCTTTGTTTCTATGAGTTGGGTTTTGTTTGTTCACTTGTTTTGATTTTTTTTTTAGCTTCACATATGAGTGAAATCATGCAGTATTTGTCTTTCTCTGTTTGACTCATTTCCACTTAGCATAATACCCTCCAGATCCTATCCATGCTGTTGCAAATTTCATTCTTTTTTATTGCTGAGTAATATTCCAGTCCCTGTGTGTGTGTGCGTACGTGTGCGCGTGTGTGTAATCACATCTTCTTTATCCATTCATCTGTTGATGGACATCTAAGTTACTTCCATATTCTGGCTATTGTAAATAGTGCTGCAGTGAATATAGGGGTGCATATATTTTCTATCTTTTTAATGAAATGTTTTGCCCTGGCAGGGTAGCTCAGTTGGTTAGAGTGTCCTCCTAATACACCAAGGTTTCAGGTTCAGTCTCCAGTCAGGGCACATAACAGGAATCAGCCAAAGAATGCATAAATAAATGGAACAGCAAGTTGATCTCTTTCTCAGTGTCAAATCAATTAATAAAATAGTTTTAAAATTTTTGTTAAGTTTTCATATTCAACAGCAACCTGTTTGTTCCCACTGTGTGCAAGGCATTCTGGGCTGTATAAACCTATAAAAGCTGTGGTTCCTGCCCTTGCATCGCAGAGTCCGATATAACTATAATGTTAGTAAATAGTAAATAGATTTGCCGCATTGCCGTACATTTTGAGAAGTGTTTTCATTGTGTAATCTCTCTTGTTAATTTTTGGTTTGTGAGATCTTTTTTCCTTGTCTATAGATGTCTTCATTTAAACTGTTATAATAGTACCCTTATTTGCACAAAGTCCCTGTTTTCAATTTTAAGATATTTATTAAAAAATCTTATTATAATGCTAAACTAGGTTTTGAGGTTTGTTTACTTGCTTTTTTTTTAAATTAAATCTTTATTGTTCAGATTATTACAGTTGTTCCTCTTTTCCCCCCCATAGCTCCCCTCCACCCGGTTCCCACCACCCCCCCACTGTCCTCATCCATAGGTGCATGATTTTTGTCCAGTCTCTTCCCGCATCCCCCACACCCTTCCCCCCCAAGAATAGTCAGTCCACTCCCTTTCTATGCCCCTGATTCTATTATAATCACCAGTTTATTCTGTTCATCAGATTATTTATTCACTTGATTTTTAGATTCACTTGTTGATAGATGTGTATTTGTTGTTCATAATTTGTATCTTTACCTTTTTCTTCTTCTTCCTCTTCTTAAAGGATACCTTTCAGCGTTTTATATAATGCTGGTTTAGTGCTGATGAACTCCTTTAGCTTTTCCTTATCTGTGAAGCTCTTTATCTGACCTTCAATTCTGAATGATAGCTTTGCTGGATAAAGTAATCTTGGTTGTAGGTTCTTGGTATTCATCACTTTGAATATTTCTTGCCACTCCCTTCTGGCCTGCAAAGTTTCTGTTGAGAAATCAGCTGACAGTCGTATGGGTACTCCCTTGTAGGTAACTGAGTCTCTTTCTCTTGCTGCTTTTAAGATTCTCTCTTTGTCTTTTGCTCTTGGCATTTTAATTATGATGTGTCTTGGTGTGGTCCTCTTTGGATTTCTTTTGTTTGGGGTTCTCTGCGCTTCCTGGACTTTTAAGTCTATTTCTTTCACCAGGTAGGGGAAGTTTTCTGTCATTATTTCTTCAAATAGATTTTCAATATCTTGCCCTCTCTCTTCTTCTGGCACCCCTATAATTCAGATGTTGGTACGCTTGAAGCTGTCCCAGAGGCTCCGTACACTATCTTCGTATTTTCGGATTCTTTTTTCATTTTGCTTTTCCGGTTGGGTGTTTTTTACTTCTTCGTATTTCAAATCTCTGACTTGATTCTTGCAATCCTCTAGTTTGCTGTTGGGAGTCTGTATAATATTCTTTATTTCAGTCAGTGTATGCTTAATTTCTAGTTGGTCCTTTATCACAACCTCGAGGGTCTCACTAGATTTCTTGAGGGTCTCATTAGTTTATCGGCGGTTTCTAGAAAATTCTTGAAAAATCTTAAAAGTGTGGTTTTGAACTCTATATCCAGTAGTTTGCTTTCCTCCATTTCTGTCATTTGTGTCCTGTTTCTTTGTCTCCGCATTTTTTTTATGCTTCACTGTGTCGATAGAGTGGCTTTCTGTGCTAGGTGTCCTATAGGGCCCAGTGGCTGAGCCTCCCCAATTACCTGAGGTAGACACTCTTGGTGCACCCCTTTGTGGGCTTTGTGCACAGTCTTGTTGTAGTTAAGCCTTGATTGTTGTAGGTAACACTGGGAGGGATTGACCTCCAGGCCAATTGGCTGTGAGAATCAGCTGTGTCTGCAGTGGGAGAACTTCTGTGCTGGAGACACCCCTCCGGGGCAAGACTTGCTTCAATGGGGCTTTGGTGCTCACAGAGTCTGCCCCCTGAGTGTGTCTTTTTTGGATCCAAGGAGCTGCAATCTGGATGGTCCCACTCTGACCACTGGGCACACTGGCTCCTGGATCTCTAAGGAGGTGCTAATCTAGCCTCTGCCTCAGGCTATCCAGCAGGAGCCAGCTGTGAAGCAATGCAAGTTGCCCTGGGCCCTGGGGCCAGCTGCAGTTTGTTAGGTAATTATCAGATTGCAAAGGGCCAGGCCTTTCATATGCAAAAGCCTCCATGCATGGCGGGGTCCCAGGGGATCAACAGGGCAGAGCAAGCAGTTATGGCTGCTCTCAGTCCTGCCCTCAGAGGCCCCGCTTCTCAGTGTCCCGGCAATCGCTGCAAGCACCCCGGAGAGAAAGCTGCCCTCGAGTTCCAACCGATGCCAGACAGTCCAGTTTCTCCCGTATGAGTCTGGGTCCCCAGAGACTCTCCCGGAACTGGAGCTCAGAGCTTGAGACTCCCTCCCGATTGAAAAAGACAACCGTGTCCTCAGCCGCCAGCCCTCTCCGCATGCGCCTCCGTACCTCTGTACTTTACTTCCGCACCGCACCTTCTCTGAGTCTCGGTATGCTTTTCTCTTTCCTTCTAGTTGTAGAATTTCCACTCAGCCAGCCTTCCTGTGGTTCTGGATGATGTCCGTTCCGTCTTTTAGTTGTATTTTTGAAGTGGTTATGCGAGGGAGCAATCTCCGGTGTTGACCTATGCCGCCATCTTGGTTTCTCTGTTTACTTGCTTTTTAACATTACTACATGTCTGGGCACTTATAAAATTATTACCAGTTTGTAAGTACCAAATTCTTAAAACCCACAAATTTTATTAATTTATTTTTTTCTAGGTTGCAATAAAAATAATTGACAAAACTCAGTTGAATCCAACAAGTCTACAAAAGGTAAGATTGGTCCAGTATCCAGTACTTTTTAAATGATTTTCAGTGCTAATTGCCATCTAATTTGCCTCTTAAATACCTCTACTGGTATTTTACTTACTGTGTTTAGTACAGTAAAGCTTTATATTCCTCAAAAGAATGCAACTTACATGTAGCATTGTGTAAATGTAGTATTAATTGGATTTTTTTCCTTCAGTTGAAGATAATGCTTTTTAATGTTCTTAGTAGCAAACTGAAGGCTGTACTTTTAAATTGAATGTTCTAAATAATGATTAGAATAGAGTTTTTAAAAATAATACAGAACCACGTATTATATAATTCATTTTTAGTCAGCATTATACACTGTGTAACTAATACATAGAACTTCAAAGTCAGCATTTTGGTTTTATTAAACTCACACGAGGTCAAATTAAGGAGTGTGGATTAATTCATATAAAAGGAATACTGAATGGTAGTTGGAAAAACATGTCTGTAATACACTGTTGCCATTTGTGTCACCTAGTAACCCAGGAGTTCTCAGCCTGGTGCACATTAGACTCATCTGGGCCTCTTCAAAGGCCTGATGACTGGCCCACAGGAGAAATTGAATCACTGGGCGTAGGCATTTCACTGGTGCATTCTGCAAATGATTGATGATCTTTATAATGAGATCTAGTATTTTTATTGGTTTTTGTTTTTTGTTTTAATTGATTTCAGAGAGGAAGGAAGAGGGAAAGAGAGATAGAAACATCCATGATGAGAGAGAATCATGGATCGGCCGCCTCCCGCAAGTCCCCCACTGGGGATGGAGCCCACAACCCGGGCATCTGCCCTTGACCGGAATCGAACCCAGGACCCTTCACTTCGAAGGCCAATGCTCTATCCACTGAGTTAAACCGGCCAGGGCTATTTTTCGTTTTGAAAAGGCTTTTTATATATTGTATTTGATTTCTAGATTTGGCCTAGGGAGGTGGGGGATACAGAGACATTGCACTAGACAAGAAGTCCTGAATTTTACTCTTGGCTGTGACAGCCAAATATGTAACTTAACCATGAGCAGGTCACTTAATTTTTCTGGACCTCAGCCTTGTTATCTTTAAAATGGAGATAATTTCATCTTCTCAGGATGGATTATTAATGAAATAATGGGTATTATAAAAGCTTTGTAAACGGCAAAGCATTGCACATTTAAGATACTGTAAGTATAATGCTCTGTGTATGTTCCTAACGTATTCCTGATGGTTATTTTCCATTTATGTCATGAGAATTTTTAAGCCTTGTTCATGTGTGTGAGGTGGGGAGGGAGGTAGACTTTACCTTGCACTAAAAATGGTATTTAAACATGTGGTTCTGAAAGGCATAGTGGGCCTTAAGGATTCTCAAGGTGGCCCTGGAACAGATTCAAAAATTCCAGTCCTTTGTTCTGAAGATGAAATTGTATTTATGTCCTTAAACTTTTATTTCTTTATATAGATAAGGACTTTTGGTACTAACTAAAACTAAGCATAGAAACAAGTTTACTGAGTATTCGTGTTCAGAATTCAAATGGTGTTACAAATCTCCCACTGTCCTTGTAGGTAACTGGAATTCTAGCAGTTTTCTATTGAGAATTTAAAATACGTTTTTAATGGTTTTTAGAGAGGAAGGGAGAGGGAGAGAGAGAGAGAAACATCAACTGGTTGCCTTTGGCCCACCCCCCACTGGGGATCGAGCCCTAAACCCAGGCATGTGCCCTGGGAATTGAACCAGTGACCTCTTGGTGTACCGGATGACACTAAACCCCCTGAGCCACACTGGCCAGGGCTCTAGGGGAGAATTTTATCATAATACTTTCTTGAGCTGGTTATAATTTTTCCTTCTTTCTCGCTTGCTTTTTTCATTATTCTTGGCTATAGTTTTTAATTGCTATTCTATTATTATTATTATTATTATTATTATTATTGTTTGTCCTATCATTATCAGTTTAGTACATGATAAGTTGCCTGATTAGCCTGATAGTGTGATTATGCAGATTTGCATCACCATTAATTTTGGCACATAATCTAATAGGTGAGACTTTGAGATTGTTTGTCATGTAGTTCAAGTATGAGCCATCCACAAAAGACTTATCGGTTCAAGTTAGATAAATTGGTAAGTGTAATTTTCTGTTTATAGGGCAGTGTTTTATTTATTTATAAACATTTTTAAATTTATTTCAGAGAGGGAGAGGGAGATAGAAACATCAATGATGAGAGAGACTCATTGATCAGCTGCCTCCTGCGCATCCCACACTGGGAACTGATCCTGCAGCCCAAGCATGTGCCCTGACCAGGAATCAAACCATGACCTCTTGGATCATAGGTCGACGTTCAACCACTAAGCCACGCCGGCTGGGTGGGCATTGTTTTAAATCGTGTGTATAAGTTTGTATTCTTTTCTTATAAATTAGAAGCATTCTATATTTCTTTCAAATTCTTCACTGAGTTCATTTTCCATGGGAAAATAGTAGGGTGGAGTGGACCTGGCATATTTGACACCCCCCCCCTTTTTTTTTTTTAAATTCTCACCCTAGGGTGTGTTTATTGATTTGAGAGAGACAGACAGAAAGACAGACAGACAGACACATCAGCATGAGAGAGACACATCGAATGGTTGCCTCTCGTATGTGCCCCAACTGGGGACCAAACCCGCAACCTAGGGATGTGCCCTGACTGGGAATCGAATCCAAGACCATTCAGTGCATGGGACAATGCCCCAACCAACAGAACCACATTGGCCAGGGCACATCTTTGGCCTTTCTTAAAAATATATATTTTTATTGATTTCAGAGAGGAAGGGAGAGGGAGAGAGAGAGAAACATCAATAATGAGAGAGAATCATTGATCGGCTGCCTCCTGCACACCCCACACTGGGGATCGAGCCCACAACCTGGGCCTGTGCCCTGATCAGGAATCGAACTGTGACCTCCTGGTTCACAGCTTGATGCTCAACCACTGAGCCACGCTGGCTGGGCTCTTTGGCCTTTTAATAGTAGTTCTCTCAGTACCAATCACACATAAGAACAGCTCTCTTTATATTGTGCTTTTAAGCCCTGGTGCATGGAGCACAGCCTTAGAAGCTAACAGTCACTTTAAGGAACACTGCCATCAACAATATGTAATTTTTTTTATCCTGCCACTACCCAAAAATGTGGACTGGCTTATTAAGGCAGCTTTTGAACACAGGTGTTAAAATCGTGTCAGTTGCAAAGTATTCACAATATTCAGGCTGACACATTGATTTAATAAGTATGAGATTCTAGTAAGGTATATTTTTCTCCATTGGAAAATTTCCACTTATCACTGTCTTTTAGGGCAACCTTTAAAGATCTCTATAATTTTGTATACATATGGTTTTGAAACAGCATGAATAATAAAAAGTCTCCTTCCTGGTTTTGCAAAGTCACTTTTAGCTTTGATTTGGTTATGTGCAGGTAATCTTGCTGGGTCTGGTCCTTATTAAATCTGAATCTATCATTAAGAAGTAAGTAAGGGCTCATTTTTTAAAAAATATATTTTATTGATTTTTTACAGAGAGGAAGGGAGAGGGATAGAGAGTTAGAAACATCGATGAGAGAGAAACATCAATCAGCTGCCTCCTGCACACTCCCTACTGGGTATGTGCCTGCAACCAAGGTACATGCCCTTGACCGGAATCAAACCTGGGGCCCTTGAGTCCGCAGGCCGACACTCTATCCACTGAGCCAAACCGGTTTCGGCAGGGCTCATTTTTTTTTTTTTTAATATTTTTATTGATTTTTTTACAGAGAGGAAGGGAGAGGGATAGAGAGCTAGAAACATCGATGAGAGAGAAACATCGATCAGCTGCCTCCTGCACACCCCCACCGGGGATGTGCCCACAACCAAGGTACATGCCCTTGACCAGAATCGAACCTGGCACCATTCAGTCCGCAGGCCGACGCTCCATCCACTGAGCCAACCCGGTCAGGGCAGGGCTCATTTTTTAAAAGTGTAGCTTACCTTTTTAAAAATACTAGACTTTATTAAGACATGCCAGTACGCTAAGTGTAATCCATCTAAAGTTATGAACATTCCTTTCCATCTTGGAGTGGACCGTTGTTAACATGAAGAGAGGGAGCATAAGTATGGTTAGGAACACAGTGAAGCCATGTTGAATGGATTCACACCAGGCTTCAACTCGGCCTTGCTGTGACAAGTCACTTAACCTCCCTGGGTCTTAGTTTTTTCATTTGTAAGATGGAAATAATAAAGTACCTCATAGGGCCGTAGTGAGAATTAAATAAATTAACATTCAAAACCCCTTGGAAGAGCTGAGGATAGTACGTGGCACAGGATAAGGACTGTTTGCCATTATTGTGCATCCTGCTGAAAATTAGGTTTTTGTTGTCTTGGTTTTGGGGAGTGGGAGATGTTTTTGTTTGTTTACAGTTTTCCCCTCATGGGAAATAAGTAAAGCTTAAAATTGAGTGGTAGATTCTAGCCAGGTCTCTTTTGTGGGACATGATTGCTGTAGACTACTTCTGATATCTGCTAATATTTGAGCATTTATTATATACTGAGCACTGTTCTAAGTGTATTACCCATATTAACTTATTGTATTAGTTTGCTCAAGCTGCTATAACAAAATACCATAGACTGGCTGGCTTAAACAACAGACATTTATTTATTTTGCACACTTGTAGAGGCTGAGAAGTCCCAGATCAGGATGCCAACATGGTTGGGTTCTGGTGAGAGTTCTCTTTCTGTTGCTGCCTTCCCACCATGTCTAGGGCTGGGGGTGCACAGCACCAGTGCACGCGAGCATACTCTGGTATCTCTACTGTAAGGGCACTGAGCCCATCATGAGGGCCTATCCTCATGGTCTCATCTAAACCTACTCAATTCCCAAATGGCCCATCTCCAAATACCATCACCTTGTGGGTTAGGGTTTTAACATGTGAATTTGTGGGGAACAAAATACATTCTTTGTATTCATTTGATCTTTCCAGTTTCATGAGGTTGTAAAGTTCTATTATTCAGGAAATA